CCCAGCTAAAAATTGTCACAGCGTTTTCCAACGACATTCATAAAAATTCAGCACTTGTGATTCAAAAAAATAATAAAAAAAAAAACCCAAACCAAAAAAAACCAACAAACAACCTGTCAGTGCTGGTCACCTCTCCCAGTTGCTGCTCCTTCCATCTCCCAGTTCCCATCCCGTTTCCCCTCTCTCCTGCCAGGCAGCAGACTGGGGAGGAGCTGTCGAGTCAAGGATTGATGACTAAAAGGATTTACCACCAAAAAGATTCGCAGCAGTTTCGCAGAAACCGCCGGAATCGCTTTGTGTTTCGTGTTTTTTTTCTCAAAAGTAATTGCAAATCAACCTATTCTGTAGTAATTGCACTAATAAAACCAGGAAGTCTCAAATTAACTGTAGCTGTCGGAGCGACAACGTCATGCTTGTGAAAAAAAAATAATAAATCCATCAAGATGTCTAAGCATTCGATTCAGCTGTTACACCAGAGAGATCTGAAATGTTCAGACAAAAAAAAAAAATAATATATAGCAAGAGACTAGAAGTCAGGAATAGCTTCCATTTTCAGTTAGTTTAAAAACAGCCGAAAACTTAATTTTTCTAACTGGCTAATTGTATACACTGTGAGTCTCATGCAGATTAATAAAACTTAGTTGAAATCTAAATGTATTCTTCATAAAAAAAAAAAAAAAAAGTGTTCGGAAATGACATTTCTAAATTGTAGAGAAAGCAACGAGCGCGGTGGCGACCGGTCCGAGCCTGGATTAAGGACTACAGGATTTCATTTACACTTTTGCATGGAACTTCTCTTCTGTCATTTTAGCTACAAGTAGTGAAGATCTTAATTTGTTTTCCTGGGGGGGTGGGAGAGGGGGGGGAAAGAAAAAAAAAAAGTCCTTAATCCTGCACCTGCCCTCCCTGGAATGTGGGTGAAGGAGCTCACACGGCTGACTCGCTCTCCGGCTCCGCCGCGGCCGCTCCTTTCCTCGTGAGCTTCAGCACCGGGGGCTTCTCGGCGCCGGTGCCGTTGCCCTGGGTGGTCTCTGGAGGACCTAGTCCTTTCTGGTCTTCCTTCGGTTCTTCGTTGACTTCGGGGTAAATCACCAAGAAGGTAGCTGTCAAAAAACCCAGGAAGGAGCCCACGGAAGCCACCATGGGAATGACTCGGACCGTGCCGACCGCGTCCACCACACCACCCAAGGCAGAGGCCACCAGGATCTGGGAGATGTAAACCTGACAGGACAGGATGGCGCAGTCGATGCCAAATCCTCGCTTCGAGTTCCCGGGGCTGTGGTGAATGTACTGGGAAAAGACAAGAAACGTGTGTTAGGAGGTAAAAAAACCAAAAATCAAATATTTAAGCGCTAGTATCTCCCTCTAGGGAGAAATTCTTTCCTATGAGTCTGGTGAGACACTGGAACAGGTTGCCCAGAGAAGCTGTGGCTGCCCCATCCCTGGAGGGGTTCAAGGCCAGGCTGGATGGGGCCTTGAGCAACCTGGTCTGGTGGGAGGTGTCCCTGCCCAGGGTAGGGGGGTTGGAACTAAATGGTCTTTAAGGTCCCTTCCAACCCCAACCGTTCTATGATTCTGTGATTTCCACTCACCTCAATATATAAAACTGCACTGAACCTGAGTGATGTCAGAAACAAGGTATATAATAAATACTCCAATAATTATTTCATTATTCAAAGATGATTCAAGGATTGGAGCATCTCCCTTATGAAGAAAGGCTGAGAGAGCTGGGACTCTTTAGCCTGGAGAAGAGAAGGCTGAGGGGAGACCTTATGAATGCTTACAGGTATCTCAAGGGTGGGTTGAAGGAGGAGGGAGCCAGACTCTTTTCAGTGGTTCCCAGTGAGAGGACGAGGGGCAACGGGCACAAGTTGGAACATAAGAGGTTCCACTCAAATATGAGAAAAAACTTCTTCACAGTGAGGGTGCCAGAGCCCTGGAACAGGCTGCCCAGGGAGGGTGTGGAGTCCCCTTCTCTGGAGATTTTCAAGACCCGCCTGGATGCTCCTGAGTAACATGCTCTGACAAGCTCTGGGCCATCCTGATTTAGCAGGGGAGTTGGACTAGATGATCTCTATGGTCCCTTCCAACTCTAAAAATTCAGTGAAATTCAGTGAAATTCATCTCTCTTGTGCACCCAAATCCTTTTATACCTCAGCACAAGGTAAAGCCGTCAGGACCCCACCGAGCCAACGTGATGTCACATCATCTGATTGAAGTGACAGCTCTTGCTATTTACTATCAAGGACAAATCCATGTTTTGATCCCAGCAAAGCAGATATCTCAAATAACACCATTTAATAAATCCATTTTGCCACTGTGATCTTCGGAGACATCACAGAACCATCGAATGGTTTGGGTTGGAAGGGAAGGTCATCTTGTTCCAACCCCCCTGCCGTGGGGCAGGGACACCTCCCACTAGACCCGGTGACAAATGTGAATGATCTGCCTTGATGAAAATATTCCAAATATTCCACTTACCTGTTTAATATCATGGTATTGTCCCAAAAGCGCGTAGGGGCAGTAGGAGATACTCATAGAGACTATTCCCATGGTGCTGATCATGATCATGGTGACGTAGACGTTGGGGAATATGGCCATCACTGCCGTGCCCAGAGAAAAGCCCAGCGTGCCCAGGATGTAGATCACTTTTATACTCAGGTCATAGTTGTCCAAGTATTTCTGCAACAAGGCTGCAGAGATGAAGAAGAAAACATAAATCTTAGTCTAGTTGGGGAAGTTTCTGATGTGGCCGTGACAGCCTGACACGCTATTTAGGACTCAGACGCTGACGGTGTATTTGGCTTGTCTTAGTGCACAGCTCATTGGGAAAAAGACATATTTCTAGTTCAGAAACCAAGAATAAACAAACTCTGAGACTTTCTTAAACCCTGCTACAAACCTGAGGCAGAACTCAATGCTTTGAGGCTCAAACACATCATGGGCCACTGATTCCATTCATTAATTTTGCCTTTTTATTAACTTTATCAGTGCAGGAATGCTCTGAGCGCATCCTGTTGCTAATAAAAGCATATTTGCTAAACAAAGCAATCAGATAATTGATGTTTCCAGCCACGTTTCAGTCCGTGTTCAGAAAGAAGCTGCCCACCTGAACTTCAACTTGATGTGTCTCAACAAAGAGCCCGTCCCCACCGCACAGATGGGTGCAGACCTGCCTGCACACAGAACTGAAGTTTGGCAAAAGCTCTCAATTTCAGAGTCTGTATTTCAAACCTGTACTTGGTTTATCTGTTCTAATAAAGCAGGCAAGAGACTTTCAGAAATATACAGTTATAATTTTGATTTTAAAAAGCCTATGCAAAACCCCTCTGACAGATGCTTGAATCTTCTAGCAAGTGTAATTTAGTTTCCTGATGTAACCAAATTACACTTGTGTTTCCTCACGTTGAGATGGAGTTTCCTGTGCTCCAGCTTGTGCCCGTTGCCCCTTGTCCTGTCACTGGGCACCACTGAGAAGAGTCTGGCCCCATCCTCTTGATACCCACCCTTTAGATATTGCTCAGCATTGATGAGGTCCCCTCTCAGTCTTCTCTTCTCCAGGCTGAACAGCCCCTGATCCCCCAGCCTCTCCTCATCAGAGAGATGCTCCAGTCCCTCATCATCTTTGTACCCTCTGCTTGACTCTCTCCAGCAGTTCCCTGTCCTTCTTGAACTGGGGAGCCCAGAACTGGACACAGTACTTCAGCTGTGGCCTCACCAGGGTAGAGTAAAGGGGCACGATGACCTCCCTCGACCTGCTGGCCATGCTCTTTTGAATGTAGCCCAGGAGAACACTGGCCTTCTTGGCCACAAGGGCACATTGCTGCCTCGTGGTCAACTTGTTGTCCACCAGGACTCCAAGGTCTCTCTCCACCGAGCTTCTCTCCAGCAGGTCAGCCCCTAATCTGTACTGGTGTGTGGGTTTATTCCTCCTGAGGTGCAGGACCCTACCCATGCCCTTGTTGAACTTCATCAGGTTCCTCACTGCCCAGTTCTCCAGCCTCGTTGAATGGTAGCACAGCCTTCTGGTGTGTCGGCCACCCCTCCCAGTTTTGTGTCATCAGCAAATTGGCTGAGGTCCACTCTGCCTCCTCACCCAGGTCGGTGATGAATATATGGAACAAGACCGGACCCAGTACTGACCCCTGGGGAACACCACTAGATACAAGGGTGTAAACCTCGTGACCAAACAAGGAGGTGATGCTACTGAAGCAAACCCATTTTTGCCTTGTGAATACATATAGGAGGCGTCTGGTCGTGCAAAGTCTCTTACCTGAACAAACAGCAGCAGTAGCAGCATAAATCACCAGCCCCCAGCATCCCATCTGCACTCCCGCGTTGTAGGCGTGTAACTCGGTCGAGTTAGAAGGGGCCTGCACCAAACACAAAGTCGTTTCCTTGTAATCAGTGCATCTCAGAAATGAGCAATTAGAAGCAGGTCTGCCGATGGCAGCTCTTCTCTTACCTTCGGATCGCCCTGAAAGATGACCTGGCCCATGAAATCCGTGTAGAACACAGCTTCAGCAATGATGGAAAACCAAGTCAAGAGGTGACAGACGCAGAGCCTCAGCAGTTCCTTTGGCATCTTTAGCATGGACAACCACAAGAGCCTGACGGTGGTCTCCGTTTCCCCTTCTTCGCTCTCCGTGTCTCCGCTGGAGTTGGTGGTGCCGCTGGGATTCCTGTGCCGGCACCGCTGCCGCTGCCGCTTCTGCATGTCGTAGATGTCGTTCATGCTGCGCGAGGACTTTATCAAGACGATGGCGTTGGCCCGACGAAAGCGGTAGCGGTGAGAGCCTATCTTGCCGTAGTAGGAGAAGGTGTAAGAGGGCTGGCGGTAGAACATGTGCCTCCTCCTCCTCATGGAATTGGAAGTACTAGATTGCTTCATGCCTATTCGAGCGTGGCCGTTGAGGAACTCTTTTGGTAGGGAGCCGTTCACGTTGGGGACTTTATCTTCGTTTAAGCGATTATCGAGCAACATTTCCTCCTCTTTCTCGTTGTCCCTGAGGAAAGCAGAGAGGTGGTTGAGTTTGGATTTCATGATCTCTTGGCTTGCGTTGTGGGGAGTGTTGGGGTACGAAGCGTCCTGAAAAATGGAGGGTTCGATGTCGTGCAGAAAAAGCAGCTCCGATTCGATTTCCAAGGTGGCGTCGGGCATGTGCAGAACCGAGTCGCTCTTGCTCCTGACGATGTTCACCTCGAGGAACTCCATGTTGAGATCGTGCTCCGACTGAACCTCGTCGTGGAACATGGAGGCTCCGTAGGGCTCCTCCTCACTAATTACATTCAGTCGATTCAGAGGGGGGAGACTACCGCTGAATTTGACACTGGAAAGCGTGTCTCCTTCCTCATCGATCCTGTCCTGCTGAGGGTTATATTGCTCTTCTTCAATACTAAAAAGGTGGAGAGCAACGGAGACAGAGAAAATAATGGCTGCAAAGAAGAAAAGGACTTGCTCTTGCGATTTAAAAATACTACCCAAGAAGGTCTGTGTCCAGTCCAGCCCTCCTAACATATAACCGATTGCTCCTCCAAGACCTGAGGAAGAGAAAAAACAAGAAGTGAGCTCAGGAAAAATTAATTCAGCCACAACTTGGTCATCAGGAAGACCTGACAGCTGCCAAAAAACACATCAACTAACTCCATACCAGCTGAAAACGCGTGGATGTTAAGGGCCATGTCTTGTTCTTCACTGTCCACCACATCCAACAAATAGGCCCGAATCGGCCCTTCCGTTGCGTCGGCGCAAAAGTCCAACACCACGACACCCAGCACCGTGAGAACGATTCCAATGGGCTGCTTGTTCGGGACATCGCCAATAGCCAGACCTGAGGGGGAAGGGAAGAGGAATCTGAGCACCTCGTTCAAAAAGGGAAAACTACCAAGAGCAAGATTAACTCTTGAAGAGAAAGGTGGGCAACACGCTCATTGGAAACATTCCTTTACAGAGTAAAATGGCAATTTCAGCTCTTTGGCACAGATTTATGGGAGGTCAGGGACAAAGATGATGTTTTTACATCTATGAGACTGCCATTTATTTTTCAAAATGCTTTTTTGAAGTATCTCTTAAACCTTTGAGAGCATTTGGATATTATTTTGTGTTCCTAGGCTGTTTTTAGAAGAGACCGCCACGGTGCGAGAGGAAAACACCCAAACCCAACCTGCCAAATCTCATCCATCAGTTACGAACCCGGGGAACTGCAGCGCTGACACCATTCCTGACACCTAACGCCTGCATAAAGGGAAATTTAACCCTCTCACCTCTCTCTCTGCTTTTCTTAAACGTTCCTATTTTCTAGATGGCTTTTGTGAGCAGAACTTTCAAGGATGAGCTTGCAGAGCTGCACATTTGTCCCGAAACGGAGCATCGACAAAAGCGTGAATTATTTGAATCCGAGAGATTTAAACATTCCACATGCAAGGCTCTGATAAAACCATTAGCGGAACTGATGACAACGACTGTGGAAGGAGATGAAGGGGCTAAGCCACCAAAAATCATCTAAATCTCAAGTGCTATATGATTCTTGCATATTCAATCCTCCCTTATACCAAGTCCTGGGAATGCTGCACAATTTATACGTGTCCTAGATTGGGTGGAAACCTGAGCCGAGCACCCAGTGGAGAGAACAAGAGTTGAATAAGATCTATACAGGCTGTCCCCCCGGGATGTGGCTGTATTGCTATTTGGATTAGAAAACCTCTTTTTTGCTATGTTCTTGTGCTCCTTGTTCCCCTCCAGATGTCTCCTGCTGCCAGAGACCAGGTTACGGAAAAGTCTACGCTACAACGACCACCATCTCCTGTAGCCCCCAACTGAAATCAGGATTGTGAGTAACTGGAGACTAAGGATAGGAAAGTGAACGTAAAATGGGAAGAAGACAGACAATGAGAGCACACAGGGTCCATCTAGAAGAAAATCTGGTGACAAATGAGGCCTTTTCCTGCAAACCAATGACACCCCCTTTTGCCAGAGAGTGGTAAGAAATGCCTTTTCTCTCTGAGAAGTGACACAAGCCACCATTTCAAAAAGTTCAATTAAAGAGAGACTAATATTGCTTTATCACACTGTGCATCTGTTCTAAATAGTGGATCAAGTGCTGGCTGATGCTGATATAAATTGAATGTTAGTAGCAAATCTCTATCTTCTAATATGGAATGGGGCTAGAGGAGACCATGAAATGGCTCTCACTTCAGTTGAGTTTGCTTCAGGAGGAGGCCTGGGAGAGGCACAGGGGTGTTTATAGGGCTTTACAAAAGAATGTATTCATTCAAAATCTACCAGATCCATGTGCCAGGAATGGATGCAAAAAGAATACAGCTCACTTTCACAGTGCATTTAAAGAACTTTAACTGCACTGGGGTACCTGGAAAACACAGGTTTTCTAGAAAGCCATGCAATAGACTGTATTGTAACAATAAATTAATAGAAAAATCAAAAGACAATATTTGCTGCTGATTTATTAGAAGGTGATACACTTCTAAATAAACCTATAAACTGCATATGAGCTTTGCTTGCCAGCATCAGTGACTACGGACCTAAACCACTGTGTAGAAGTAAAAGTTTCTTAGCAATTAAATCATAGAATGATTAAGAGTTGGAAAGGGACCTTAAAGATCGAGTTTGAGCCCCCCTGCCCTGGGCAGGGACACCTCCCACCAGACCAGGTTGCTCCAAGCCCCATCCAGCCTGGCCTTGAACCCCTCCAGGGATGGGGCAGCCACAGCCTCTCTGGGCAACCTGTTCCAGTGTCTCACCAGCCTCATAGCAAAGAATTTCTTCCTAATATCTAATCTAAATCTCCCCTTTTTCAGTTTAAAACCGTTCCCCCTAATCCTATCACTCCACTCCCTGATGAAGAGTCCCTCCCCATCTCTCCTGTAGGTCCCCTTCAGGTACTGCAAGGTTGTTATATGAAGTCTCCCCGGAGCCTTAAATTAAATTAAATTAAATCTTAAGTTAAAAAGAGAGCTGTAGTCTAACATCTTGCATACATCTGGATGAGGAGGAGTAAGTCCTGGAGACACAACTACAAAGTACAATTGCAACCATACGATAGCAATTCAAATAATTAATATTTATTGCTTTGCTAAATAAAAAAAAAACCCTAAGTTAAACGTCATTCATCGGAACAGTTTGTCCACTGCAGTTTCTGCAGTTTCAAGAAAACTGACAACCATCATATGGCACCTCAATCTGGCTTTAAAAAGCTCCCACACTGAGCCAAGGTAATGTTCCACTCATTTCCCTCAATTAGTAAAACTTCTTCACAATAGAGCTGCATCTAACCACAAACAAAAACAAAAAAAAAAAAGAAAGAAAAAGGAGAGCCAAGAGTATATAATTAGGTGCTAAGTTCCTTTCATTTGCATCAGGCCAACCCTGATGTAAACATTTCCCCAAACGTACTGGCTGTCTCCTCTCCTACACTAAATTGACAAAGAGATTTGCAGATTGGAGATTAAACTGGGTAGTAAACTGTGTTCAAGGGAAACTATTTTTACCAGCTTTGATGGGGGCTCAGGAAAAATTCTTTTCCCACATCGTTTTTTTTTGATAAACAAATATTAACTGTGTTCTGGACATTTTCAATACCGGCTCTAAGAAAAGCACCAGAAAAAAGTGAAAAGATAATTTTTTTTGAAATAATGCTGGAAACAGGATGTGTTGCCAGATATGCATTAAAGGGAAAAGGGATCACAACAGGAAACGTTTCCCTGTGAACAGGTTGCTACAATTTTCCCATGTCGAGGATCGACCAAATCGGTCTCAACGACTGCAAACGTTACGCTGGCGACCATTGTATTAATCACACCCAATTAGCAGTCACAGCTCTGATTGCACAACACCTCACACAGCCCCGGAACTTTCAAATCAACACACACACAAGGTGGAGAGCTCGGACAGAGCGGTGCAGAGATTTCTCCCCATTTTAACACCAGTTAAATCAGCAAATCCTTAGAGTTACTCCCTACATAAAAGTCTGGAAGCGGGTATGGCAGGAGATACGCGCAAATGATTTCCTCGTTAATTACCTATAACAGAGCCATTAAGGAAAAGGGCAACTCCAAAGAGGGCACCGATGCAGAGAGCAAGAATAAAAGGCCGCCGGCGGCCCCAGCTCAGGGTGCAGCGGTCACTGGCCGAACCTATAAGCGGAGTGAAGATCAAGCCCAGGATAGGGCTAAGGAACCAAGTGAGGCTGTAGTATTGTTCAGGAAGACCTAAAAAAGACAAAAATGATTTAAAGGTTATGTGGGACACACGTAACATTTCACTTTTATACACGACATTTTGTTATTCCTTTGAAAACTGTAAACAGATCGGTTATTTACCTCCAGCAAATTCCCTCCCAAATGAACAATCCAGTTAGGATTTCTTATCAAAGCTTAAAAAAACCAGCTAAGGAAATCACAGATCATTTATCTTTCAAACACCTGGGCAATAACAAGGTAACAATAGGTATATTTGAGCTACTGAAATAATAGTTAAAAAGAAAATAATACATTTATCTAACAGTGGACTGAAATAATAGTTAAAAAGAAAATAATACATTTATCTAACAGTCCAATCACTAGTCTAGATGACTTACTATTGTCTCAAAAAATCACAGTTTGGCTGAATTCTGCTGAGTATGCAGGTTTTTTTTAACAGGGGTGTTGGTGGGGAGGGCCTCTGTGAAGAAATAACAGCCAAAAGTCTGCTGTGGAGAAGCCCAACAGCTTTGTCGCATCCTCTATCCGTTCCTGGACTATAAATCCAAAGATCTTTGGGATGCTGGAAAGCTGCCTGGTCGTCGGATACACACATCCCCTTCTTAACAAAACTTTTAATATTCAACAGGAGATGAACATTAAAGTGGTAACGTTCATCTAAAAGCACTACCATAAAGAGTCACCCAAGGTTTAATGGCCAGAGAACGATGGACAGAACTTGAGTGTTACATGAAATGTCCCATTTCTAAGCAGAAACATGATGACTCATAAAATTGAACACTGGACAATAAAAGAAAAAACAATTATTCATTAACCTTTAGAGAGCAGCTAGAGAGGCTTGCTTCCCTCTACCATCCTTGCTTTCTTTTCAGAACTGAGGTGACTATTCAGAGGATCGAATGGGCAAAAAAATGGATTTATTCTATAACATTTACCCAGGAAAAACACTTGTTACAAATAACTATTTCTGGAGAAGGAAAGCGAGCCCCGAAGCCCTGCTGTCCCTCTCTCCAGCGTGGAGAGCAATAGCCTGCAGATGGCAGACTGGCCCAGGAGAGCAGCTCCGCTCGGCTCCTTTGGGATCTGTCTCCCAGTTTCTCAGCTCAGGGCAGGTAACAGCTTTTACACGTTTCTGAGCAAAGCATGAAAAACAAAACTACCCATTTCTTGCAGCCCAACTGATGCAAAACTCAGTGTCTTTACCCCAGGAAGGAAAACCATTTATTATTCCAAAATCCCACACTGTGAGTGTGAGCGGTGTTTGACCTTTGCTGGAGAGATCAACCTGTACCTTGTGCTCCCCGCGCTGAGCCAGCCGTTACCGAGCAGGATTATACCAATCCCTGCCCAAAATAGCCCGCGCTGCAAATTTGGAAGTTTAATCTCCTGCTCTTTAAAGTGCCATCAAATCTTGACTAACGATGCTGACTTCTTCCAGGAGAGAAATCACAGTTTCCCAAGACCGGTGCGCTCTGCAGTGACACTGAAACGTTCTAGGAAAGGCTGAGGGACCTGGGTCTTTTTAGAGCCTGGAGAAGAGAAGACTGAGGAAGGAGCTCATTAATGCTTATAAATACTTCAAAGGTGGGTGTCAGGAGGATGGGGCCAGTCTTTTCTCAGTGGTGCCCAGGGACAGGACAAGAGGAAATGGGCACAAACTTCTACATAAGAAGTTCCATCTAAACATGAGGAGGAACTCCTTCAATTTGAGAGTGGCAGAGCCCTGGCAGAGGCTGCCCAGAGAGGTGGTGGGGTCTCCTTCTCTGGAGACATTCCAAACCCACCTGGACACGTTCCTGTGCAACCTGCTCTGGGTGGACCTGCTCTGGCAGGGGGTTGGACTAGGTGATCTCCAGAGGTCCCTTCCAACCCCATAGCATTCTGTGATTAGAATCATAGAATCATCTAGGTTGGAAGGGACCTTTCAGATCATCTAGTCCAACCATCAACCTAACTCTGACGAGAAAATAAATAAGAAATAAGAAATAAAAATCACTAAACCATATTCCTGAGGACCATGTCAACCCGTCTTTTGAACACCTCCAGGGATGGTGCCTCAACCATTTCCCCAGGCAGCCCATTCCAATGCTTGATAACCCTTTCAGTGTAGAAATTTTTCCTAATATCCCATCTGAACCTCCCCTGGTGCAACTTGAGGCCAGTTCCTGTTGTCCTATTGCCTGTGACTTGGGAGAAGAGACCAGCCCCCACCTCTCTACAGCCTCCTTTCAGGGAGTTGTAGAGAGTGAGAAGGTCTCCCTCAGCCTCCCTTTCTCCAGGCTGAACAACCCCAGTTCCCTCAGCTGCTCCTCCTAAGACTTGTTCTCCAGACCCCTCACCAGCTTCATTGCCCTTCTCTGGACCTGCTCCAGCAGGGGTTACTGCTGTGGGATGTCAACTCACTGCAGCAAGTCCGGTTTAAACAAGGTTAGAAGCTATCTTTGTTCTAGTGATCTACCCCTCTACTCCGCTCTTGTGAGACCCCACCTGGAGCGCTGTGTCCAGCTTTAGAGTCCTCAGCGCAAGAAGGACATGGATCTGTTGGAGTGGGTCCAGAGGAAGCCATGAAGATGATCAGAGGGCTGGAACCTCTCTGCTGTGAAGATACGGTGAAAGAGTTGGGGTTGTTCAGCCTGGGGAAGAGAAGGCTCCAGGGAGACCTTATAGCAGCCTTCCAGTACTTAAAGGGGCTACAGGAGACATGGGGAAGGACTGTTGATCAGGGAGGGGAGCGATAGGAAAGAAACACTGGCCCAGGTTGCCAGAGAAGCTGTGGCTGCCCCATCCCTGGAGGGGTTCAAGGCCAGGCTGGATGGGGTTTTGACCAACCTGGTCTAGCGGGAGGTGTCCCTGCCCAGGGCAGGGGGGTTGGAACTCAATGATCTTGAAGGTCCCTTCCAACCCAAACCATTCTATGCTCGCCAACATCTGAAATAATTTGATGTCACATCACTGCAAAAGGGCTGTACGTTGAGAAGTTTCTTTTCTGAATTATGTTGTGACTTGTGAATGATGAGCTGGGAGATGTCAACTGAGCTCCTCCGTCAGCACACACTCGAGAGACGTGGGGAAGGGGTTGCAGTAAATCATTCAGTTGCTTTAAATAAACACAGGGCACAAGGGCTGGCAAGAGCTCCATTACTGACGTTACAAGCATCATCCTATCTCATATGAATAAACAACCTTAAATAGATAGATATAAGCAAAATGGATACAATAAAGAGACTCTCTTTTAATATCCAATAGACAACCAGCTCGTTTTTATGGAGACTATGAGCAGAAAACAACAAGAAAAGGCCAGTACAGCAGGGACAAGCAAGAAGGGTGTATATCCAGGGACACCAGGGGCTTGCACAGCTCACTGTCCCTCTGCCCTTGTGGCCACCACTTTTATCTCCAATCTACAAAGGCATTTCTCTGTGGTCTATACAAATTTTAACAGAAAAAAGTTCTGGAAACACTTAATCCATTAAAAATGATGATTCCTGCAGAGAATTAAAACCTGTTTACAAATATTTTTCCTTCAACTGCAAAAACTGCACATTTCTAAATGGGAAAGACGGGGGGTTCTTTATGCTTTATAACCCCAGTTAACCAACTGTCATAAAAATGTCCTAAGATTATTAAAAAACACAGTGATTTTTACTGCCAGCGTGACTTTAACTTCAGTACTTTCAAGGTCAATGTTGGATGGAATAACTCCCCATCAGATTAAGGCCTGCATTCTGGTTTGAATTTACAGGCCAGTAAAAGAAAGGAAAAAAGGGTTTTTCGACCGTTGAAGCATTATAAATAAAAGCCTAAATCCAAATATTTACATTGAAAATGGCTTACTTTGCAAAAGACATGAATCTCAATGGAGCTAGGGATGTAGCTTTTATGGAAGGACAAAAAGGACACTTAAAAAACCACAAACATTATGTTTGGAGATCCTTCTTTAGACAAACCACTTCGATCTTCCTACTACTTTAGCGGCCAAAATATCTATCTTTAGAAAAAAGAAGCCATGATAAAAATCTATACGAGAATTAATAGCACCATGCCAAGAAAAATGGAAGAATTTCTAAAAAGCTTTCAGTGCTCCTCCAAGTAAACAGGAAAGGGATAACTTTCAAGTGAAACAGGAGCGATTCCCACAGATTGTATAGTGGTAGGAATCATCTACAACCTGCTGCTTCTCTTGCTGGAGAAGTCATGCTAGAGGATGACTTCTTCTGTAACCAAAGTGACTGGGATCTTATAAATGGCATTCCGAGCGTAAGCTAGCAGTTGATAAAATCATTGTATGTGTTTTATATACAGTTATGCAGAATTCAAAATAGTTATAATTTATTAAGTGAAGCGTATGACTTTTCTTTATCATAAGTATGTAAACAGTGATATTGTCACATTAGAATTCAGTTGGTTACTCAAGTGGAAAACTACTGAGTGGGGTTAGAGAGGATTCTTGGTAGGGAACTGGTGCACACACAAGCTAAAATAGGAAAAAAAAAACAGGAAAAATTCATTTGTTGGTGGGAGATTTCCCTCCTGAACCTGTCTGAGGGACGGCAGACTGCTCACCTGAGCAGTGTTTGGGCAGGCAAACAGAGCAATCATTTCAGCGATGGGTAGTAAAGTTAGTTACCCAAAGCTTAATATCTTAAATGTAATATCTTAAAGTCGAGATGTGGTATTGGTAAGCCATGGTCTACCCAGGGACACTAAACTCTGCCAGACAACAGGTCCTAGAAGAGCTCCCAGCCATGTTCTACCATGGGTCTTCCAGGAAAGAGCTTTCCAAGGCCCTGAGCAATACCTCCACAGTCCCATGAAGCAAGAGTTCAAAACACACCTTGGAGATGTTCTCCATAAAATTCATGCCTCATACTGGCAGAGTCTACAGGTGCTTCACCATTCCAAGAGTAGGTTTGCTTTAGCGCTAGACGTTTTGATATAAATGAGAAGGTTCCAGACAGGCAAGGACAACTCCAACCCTAAAATACTTTTTTCCCTTAAAAGAGGCTGTT